CTGTTGTAGCGTTTAATAAGACTGCTGCAGCTCGCTCCTTCTGCCCGAGTAGTTAGTCTTCTCGGTAATTTCAGGTTAAAAAGTTTGTTCCCTTCCTTCTCATCNATTATTTTAATTAACTTATCACTAATTTAAACTTAACGAGAGAGGAGGAGGAGAACCAGTACCAGCCATCCAGTACCAGCCAGGTTTCCAATTAAGTGGGCAGTTTTCTGCTGTGTTTGTGTGTGTGCAGTTTTTTATTTCGTTTTTTGGGATGCTGACCAACTGCCTTTTTCTTTTCTGTTGTAGCGTTTAATAAGACTGCTGCAGCTCGCTCCTTCTGCCCGAGTAGTTAGTCTTCTCGGTAATTTCAGGTTAAAAAGTTTGTTCCCTTCCTTCTCATCCTCTGCCTGCTGCACCACATCTTTTCTAAATTATAAAGGACATTTTTTTTGCTTTAGCTAGCCAGCTAGCTCTCGTTGATTGCGATGATTGATCGGAATTGCTCGGGCTCCGGGGATGCTCAGAGGGCTTTCGCTCTCTCTCTCTCTCTCTTCATCTTTTTCCTTCCATCTTTTTGTTCTACCAGTAAAGCCGCTTTCTCCAGCAGCAAACTTTGCTCTACTAGCTAGCATACGCTCTAATTACCGAAAGAAAGAGAGAGGGCTAACGGGAGAGAGAGAGAGACAGAGAGCAAGCAAGCAAAACTAGCAAAAATGTACGACGTGAGAAAGTGCCCATTGACGGAATTAGGCGAACCATTTGAGGGAGAGAGAGAGCGAGAGAGCGGGCTCCAATTGATAGATTTGTTTGATCTCCACGATGATGATGGATACTGCTGATGGGGCTGATGGGGCTGATGGTGCCCAGCACGGAAGTAATGAAATTGCCATTGGACAGCTGCTGCTGCTGCTGCTGCTTTGGAACTCGGTCTGCCTTGAGCCGCTGTCGCCGTCCGTTGAACCGAAAGAGGAAGCTAGCTTGCTGGCTAGCTTGCCTCAACTATTTGCTTAAATTTTCGCTTTTGCTTCTTTTGAGTTTTTTAGTTGTAGAAAATGAGTAGCGGACGATTGCCGCCTGCTTTCTGACTGACTCATTCAGCTTGCTCTTCTTCCCTCAATCGATTCGATCTCGTGAGCTCTCTCAATGCTGCAGCAGCAGCAGAAGAAGANAGCTTGCTGGCTAGCTTGCTGGCTAGCTTGCCTCAACTATTTGCTTAAATTTTCGCTTTTGCTTCTTTTGAGTTTTTTAGTTGTAGAAAATGAGTAGCGGACGATTGCCGCCTGCTTTCTGACAGACTCATTCAGCTTGCTCTTCTTCCCTCAATCGATTCGATCTCGTGAGCTCTCTCAATGCTGCAGCTGCAGCAGCAGAAGCAGCAGCGACTTGGGTGCAATCGAGTTAATTGAATTAGCCTCAGACTCGGCAACAGACTCGCTTTCATTCAGTCTGCTGCTGCTGATTCTTTCTTTCTTCTTTCTTCTTTAATGTTTTCCCCTCTAACCGTTTTCTTCTTTTTCTTTCAGAATTAGTACCGCCGCCAAAGGTTCGTGATTCTTTCTGGTTGCCTGCTCACTACCGTCGCCGCCTAGAAAACATCGATCGAACGTTTGGGCGTCTTGCGGCGACTTGCGACAAGATGTGAACACACTGCTGAAACACAACACTGCTCCCAGCCGCAGAATGGAAGAGTGAACAAACCGTTATCTGTGGAGGGCAGGCCAATCCAATCTAGTCAAGAGTTTTTGAATCTCCCGTTTTGTTGTTTGTTGTGTTTGTTTGTTGTTCTACCGTTTGTTGTTGTTTTCTTTGTTTTGGCTGATGGTCCTCGACCTTGGACCGCTGGCATCACCACTATTAGAATGGAGTTCGACTATCCACATTCTTCACCCACATCACCCCCATCATCACCAACAACGACCTTCCAGCATCATAGGCGAGGACGACCAATTTTGGGACATGCAAAGACACATTTCACGACGTCTACTACCACCAGAAAAGTGCTCGTCAGCCTTTGTCTTCTCTGCCTTTCGGTGCTGTTGGTAGCGGTCGGCGCCTCCGCCGAGCCCGAGGAGCAGACGAGCCTCAGCAGCAGTCTCTGTGATCCTGACGGGCCGCTGGCGCTGGGCATGGAATCGGGCGCCATTGCTGACTCGGCACTCTCCGCCTCCTCCGCCTATGAGATGCTCCATGTCGGCCCGAATAATGCAAGGTAAGTGAACAGTACTACTTGACCCGAAACCGCCGCAGCCGCCACGACCACTCTTTCTGTCATTAATTTTCCCTTACCACCAGCACCACTGCCACCACCACAGCTGTTCGAGTTGGCTGGTTGGTTGGTTGGCTGGCAAATGGTTAATTAATTAGATGAATGCCCTCTTCCACCACCACTAACGCGAATAAATCTGTGCACAACCCGTTTTTGTTGGCGGCATTCTAATGAGTTTCTCCCTTCTCTTTTCCCCCTCTGCCAGGCTAAAGACCGACAACGCCGGCGGCGCCTGGTGTCCGCAGAAGCAGCTGGACGCCGGCAACTCCGGCTCCGAGTGGATCCAGGTGGACCTGGGCGCCTCGCACGTGATCACCGGCGTGGCGACGCAGGGCCGCTACGGCAAGGGCATGGGCCAGGAGTTCACCGAGGCCTACCGACTGCTCTACTCGAGGGCGAACGCCCCGGACCGGTGGATACTCTGGCGCAGCTCGGATAATGTCTCGGTGAGTGTGTTGGCTGCTGCTGCTGCTGATGTTTTCTCTCTTCTTTTTCGGACAATCCGAGTGTGTCCAATTCTGTTCTCGGCTCCTATTTGTGTCCTATCTCTTTCACTGGCGTCCTTCAACAGCAGCAGCAGCAATCTGTTTGCACACACTGTCTGTTTGAAGTGAATAAGCCAAAAACTCTTTCAAGTTTTTTTGTTTGTCTTTGCCTTGGCGCGCTCACGTCTGCTGCAAACGTTTGCTGCTTCTGCTGCTGTTGCTGTTGAATAGTTGCCAGTAGTGGTGGTAGATGAAATTTAGTTTTATTCCTCGTTTCCCTTCTCTCGCCATACAAACAAACAGACAGACAGACAGACGCACACATACAAGTTAAGTAAACTGCAAAACAGTAGACAGGACGAGGTGGTAAATATTTGCCAGCAAATTATAGCCTTCTGCCGTTGCTGCCGCTGACGACGTCCTCTCTCTCTTTCTCTTCCTCTGACGCTCTTGAGGGCTGTCAATTGCAATTGCAAACTCGGGAAGGGAAGGGGAGGACTTCTGCTTCTGTCCAGCTCAGCAGAAGAGTCTTTGAGTTGCACAAACACAGACACCGAACCAGTTCTGTGGCCGAAGACTGAAGAACCGGACAATGCACAGCAGCAGCAGCAACCGATTTTGATTCGTGTGCACTTTTTGTCCGGCCATTGTGAATGTGTTTAAATTGGTGCTGTGTGTTTGAATAGAGGTTGAGGAGAAAGCTTTGTGTTTTGATTTTAGAGGTAATTATATTATTCTTTGATTCTTTCTTTTCAACTGCTATTCACTTTTGAGTCTCTCCCACTTCACTCGATCACTCGATTTAGAATATGAAGTGAAGTGAGTGGTGGAAGGAAAACACTTCAGGCAAACGATACTCTGATCAACAAAACGGCGCTTTGGTCTGGTCCAATTGACGCGGTGACCCTCTTCCTTTTTTCCTTTACTTCTTCTTTTATTTGTCTTTTATGCGATACTCTCTCTCCCTCTCTCTCTCTTTGTACTCTCAGTTCAAGCGGAATATAATGACACATTTGTGTGTTTAGTCTGCCTTTCTCTGTGTTTGAGCGCCTTCTCGATTAAAGCAGCTCTTCCGCCATCATTACAAGACTGC